GTACGGCTTTCAACAATGAGCAAAAACCATACCGCATAGTCAGCTAAAAAAGGCCACGACATGACAAATGTAAAACAAATTAAACGAGAAATTTAACGGCCTGATTTATGTACAAAACAATGAACGAAAAACAAACATGATATACAGCAACACACGACAACCACCGAATTGCAGGCTCCTGACTGCGGACAGGCACATACAAAATGTGGCGGGTTAAACTAGTTTGTTGGCGCCAAACCCTCCTCCCTAACCTGGGACAGTGGTGTAATAGTACAACATAAGAACAAAATATAAAAATCAGTTGAAAAGGGCTTGTATATATAAAAATAAGGAGATGAGGTATGATTGCCAATGAGACAACTATCCACCAAAGTTTAGATGAAGTGGATGTAAACAATTATAGGCAACCGTACGGCCTTCAACATTGAGAAAAAACCCATACCGTATAGTCATCTATAAAAGGCCCCGACATAGAATATATGAAACAATTCAATTGAGAAAACTAATGGCCAAATTAATAACAAAACAGTTTACGAAAAAAAATATGACCAACATGAACCAACGACAACCACTGAACTACAGGCTCCTGACTTGGGACAGGCACAAAGAATGTGGCAAGGTTAAACCTTTTTGTGAGCGCTCAACCCTCCCCTAACCTGGGACAGTGGTGAAACAGCACAACATAAGAACAAACTATAAAACTCAGTTGAAAAAGGCTTAACTCATCAGATCGATACAAAGCAGAACAATCAAACAACATCACAGACCGGGCGTGGCAGGGTATTTATCCATCCCTCATCCCTAACAACAAAAAAGACACTAAGTACAGATCTGAAAGTACTCACAGTTACTGACAGCTAGTTTAAAGCCAATAACAACTTATAAAAAAATCATGTATCTAAGACTAAAATATCAATCAGGCGCGTAGCAACCCGTACGCAAAAACGCAGTTGCGTACACATCGAAAATTTGACAAAAATAAAAATATGGTAAATCTGGTAAGAATAAAACTAAAGTTATAAAACAAATTAAAAAGTATTACACAAATATGTTAATAGTCAATTTGTAGCTATATTCCGTTCCGGAAACTAGTCTACTGTTTTCATTTATACGGAGGCAGCATCGTGATTGTGTTGCTGATGCAAACAATTAAAATAGCTGAGTCCTCGGGGTGTCAGAACACAATTGTTACGTCTACTATGCCTCCTTACCCTGACATCTTTTCTGAAGATTTCAAATGATGCCGTTCTAAAGAGACCATGGGCAACGATTCATTCTTATGATTTTCCTGTGAGGTATGTTTAGTCTTACATACGTGATGATAACAGATTTTTTATAAACAGTCCAGTCAAACTTAAGTTTAACGGGGATTGTTAAGGGTAATTTTCGTGCAACGTCTTCTCTGTTTTTTTTAATTTCACGATCAACGTGTTTTTACTTTATTATTTTACGTTCGGTCGTGCAAGACGGGTGCCTCGTTCAACGTGTATTCCCAATTTAATTATACGTGGCGTGCCTCGAGCTTTAATGTGCTTATTTTCCATGCTTCAAGATCTAAAGTGCTTGTTTTCCCTGCTTGGTAAAAATAATAGACTCTAGTTTTGGAAGTTAATAAAAAGAAATCGGAAATAATTTTATGCTTTTCCTGTATATTTCGGGACTTCAAACGTACTTATGTATATATGTATAATGGCCAGTTAAAGGTGTCCAACCTATGATGTATGATGTTATAAACAAGGATTTATACCCGGGAATCTTTAATATATATACGTAACGTATTTGCATGTATGCCGGTCTCGACAGCAACGGCAGAACGGTCTTTCAGTACCATGAGAAGTCTTGAGAAATACAATGAAAACCGATCGTTTTTATCTGGGCTTGGTCTGTTGAACATATATCGTGAAAAACAAATTTCAGCAGACACGGTTTTGGACATCTTCAGTAGAAGAAAGGAAAGGAAATGGTCCTTGATTTTCAGAATTAACTTTGAGAATTAAAAGCTGAAAGAAAGACTGCTTGTTCACTTATAAAATAAAACATTGAGAAATGTGATTCTATTTATTCAAATTATGTATTTTCTCAATAAAAAAATACCCTTTAAGTTGCACGGTGTTGGCTTAGAAATTTGGATTTTCTAATATATAGTGGGTTGAGACTGATTAGGTAATAATTAAAATATATGGCGGTGGCACTATATATTCTAATTGTACTTAATATATAATCAAGATCAACCCACTACACATTAGAAGTTTGTTTTTCTCTAATCAATATTTTTTGTTCAAATTTAATTATTTTCAAAAGTTGATTTGTTACTTATGAACATAAGATTTCTTTTGGGTTATTTTAAGTCCCAGGAAATCGCGAGAATGCAGGATTTTGCACCATTTACCCCAGAGCTTCTGAGGGGCCTTGAGCGGCCCCCAGTCCCCTCGCCGTATGACTTCCTTTCCCGGCTTTGAGTACACATCATTTTGGCCTAGCTACGCCCCTGTCAATCAGTACATATGTTTGGATGTTTTGCCTAGGGGAGTCGGGTGTTAGTTGCTAATGGGATATGTTGTACTTTGTGGTATATTTTTTTTACGATTTACTAGAATTATAGAGGATTCATATCATTTAACTAGTATTGATCAGTCCAGAATGACTCTGTACATCCCCGGGGAAATGGACAATGTGAGCGGTTTGAACAGACACTTTTCAAAATATTGGGTACATTTGAGGACGAAAAGAAATCCCGGAAACCTATGTAGGTTCTTGTTCATTCTTAAGTGAAAGCACAACAAAAAAGGTACAGGACAATGTCCTCACTACTTGATGTTTGGTTGTCATCCGACACTTTCTATAGATTCGTTCTAAGGACTCAGCTGTGAACCATCAATATATATATATTATATATATATATACTTTTATTATTCTTCCCTTAGTTTATTTATTTTGTATTTACATTGTATCATAGGTCAAATTTATTTGTTCAGTGTATGTTCAATGATGTTAATATGTCCTTTGATTGAGTTAAGCTATTTCAGTTGATATTTTATAGTGTGTCTTTCTATGTTGTGATGTTACACTATTGTTTCAGAAGAAGGGTGAAGGTTTGGTACCATTTAAACCCGCTGCATTTGTTTGCACCTGTCCTAAGTCAGGAATCTGATGTTCAGTAGTTGTCGTTTGTTGATGTGGTTCATAAGTGTTTCTCGTTTCTCGTTTCTCGTTTTTTATATAGATTAGACCGTTGGTTTTCCCGTTTGAATGGTTTTACACTAGTAATTTTGGGGGCCCTTTATAGCTTACTGTTCGGTGTGAGCCAAGGCTCCGTGTTGAAGACCGTACTGTGACCTATAATGGTTTACTTTTATAAATTTTGACTTGGATGGAGAGTTGTCTCATTGGCACTCATACCACATCTTCTTATATCTATATATAACTAATTTAGAAATGGGACGGAAGTTCGCGTATAGATCTGCAACCATAATAGCGGAAAAGGTAAATAAACGTCTCTTGACTAGATATGATTCTGCGATACGATTTACTAATTTTAAAATAGAAGAGGGCCATAGTGATACTGAAGAGAGTATGCTTGAAAGGTAAGCAGCAACTTGTTCTTAAGTGAAGGCCGAACATCGACCTATAGTTGCTAACATCTACGTTATTTGGTCTTTGGTGGATAGTGTTCTCATTAGATGGATAAAACTTACTAAACCAATAAAGACAGAAAATGCAGATCATGGGGATCGAATGAGCATACCAACAAAGTGGTACACAGTAAATTTAGTGATCACGATGACGATATCTCTGTTGTTGTCAAACCTAAGGTCAGATGTACAAACAGATTTTCAGAGTTGAGTCCACCAGTTTATTGTTTACTGCATATCCAGGTTATACATATGATTAGTTAGTGATATATCAGTACAACTGAGGATTAACTTTGAGGAAATCTCTAATTCGATATAATTCGGATCGTTGTAACTTGGAAAATGAAACTTAAATATATGAATATGCAGATTCAAAACTAGTTTTACATCACTGCAGTGTTACTCTAGTGTTTTCAACTGTTTATTATTTTTAGTTTTATTGTGTGTTATATTTACCATTTGTTGTATTGGTTGAATTTTCATAGATTAACTCATTTGATATAAATATGGTTTGTTATTGCTATTTGTTGTTTTTTTTTAGCCGTGGGTTTTTCCCGTTCATATTTGTTTTCACTGTTTCTCTGGTATGGCCTTTTTTCAAGGATGCGTAAAAATCATATTAATTGACCGATTTATGCCAAATAGCAATTTTATGATGTCAGTGGTTTATTTAATATATTTTGTTGTTGGAATTCACTTTTTACAAAGGAAAAAGGATCGATATTCGTTATATAGAAACTCATGATAAGACCTTGAAGTGAATCATGCTTCTAGGCTAAAAGATACGATTGTTGACACTGAACGAGAAAATAAGGAATGCGGAGAAGAGTTGAATTTGTGAAAATTGCATTATCTTGTTTCCGACTATTGAGCTTTTTAACTATAGATATAATACATTAGCTCCGTGTCTGCACCCATAAGTATAAAAGAAGAAGGATGATAAGATTAATTGTATGCTTTATAAATTAAAGTTGTTGTACATCAAACATAAAATTAATATCATACATGTTAGGGTTCTTTTTGTGAAAGATGAATAATTTGCTTGTATCACAGGAGAACGAGGTTTTTATTTTTGTTCATGCATATCTTTTGTTCACTTGTGTATCTTTGTTTCATCATTGTATAGATCTAAGAATTTTGAGATAAGGATACAAACTATATTCCATTTAATGAATTTCCAACATTTAGCAGAGGCATATTGGCGCTAGCTGCATATAGACTTAGTACGACGCATTTCACCTGCTTACCATTAAGCTGTTCTCTCTCTGATTTAAGGACAGGAGTTCAAACAACTATGTTTGTTAGTTCGTATGTGTTCATAATATGTTACATTGCTATGTCAAATGGAAGAACAACGTTGAGGTTAAATACATTTATATCAATAAATCATTGCTTCATTACACAAAACAGTTATTTTTTGGTTATATGTAATCATACAAAATATTGAACAATTGACTGACGTATGAGGTTGAGACTAACATCAATCCACACAACCCTTTTCTTCGTGTATGTATAACAGTCTCCGGACAAGTTTGCAATTCCTTTATGGAAATTTATTAACAATACAAACAGTATGAAATATCATTTTTGGTAGACTGAATAAATGATACAAAAGATATTTAAAGCTTCAATAAATTATACACAAGTTTCTTTATCTTGATTATTTACTTGTTAGCAAAAATATTTCGTGGGACGCTTTTAGTTGATGTTTATTTAGGTAAAATGTTCATAAAATTAGCCAGCAAACTTAAGTCTATGTTATGAATTAACTTTCATGATGTCATAGTAAATTGTGAAATCGAATCATATGTTGCATTTACAATTAATAAAAGTGGTCAATTTCATCGATATGTCCCACGTTAAGTTATATCATCCAATCCTTATCATTGCGTTCAATAAGTTATCGTATATGCTGTAATTTTGGTATTTATACAACTAAAGGTTTCAATAGCAATTACATGTTGGATTTATACTGAAAGATTATGTAGAGCAGGTTAAAAATATATCTTGACGCCTTTGAAGCCCTTTACTTTTCAAGTTAGAGGTTGACTTTTAACAGTGAATAAAATGTAACCGAAGAAAAGATAAGCAAGTTAATGTACGATTTTAAATTATATTTTGAATTAGTATCGTTAATGTAATCGATACAATTATAGAAGCACAATAAACAAATTACACAAAACACTATTGAAAGTGAACCCTGATTGTTTATGATCCTCAAATCATCTCCTGAGGGATATCGTACTCGTTGAAGTAACGGTTAGGCGTTATAGCATGATCGAAACCAACTGTTCCTTCTTGTTTGTCTACAATGCAAAACGCAAAAATGATTTGAACATCTCAGTAAACAAAAGTATTTTTTTAAAACGAGGTCTGATGAACTACAATTATGAATACATACAGTCAAGTCATGGAAAAGTTTTTATTTTTGTATTTTGTATAAGATGTATCAATTGAAAAACTAAAAGAATCGAAGCGACTGCTCATTTGTAACAAAGCAATTTTAAATTTAAAAAAAAATGTAAATTATCAAATGTCACTACGAAAAGATTTGTTTGCGCTAAAGTTTATTTAGTATATCTCTACTATTGACATTACATTTGTCATTTTATTAAATCTTACCAGTGCCATTTTCTTTGTTAATTGACCTTCTTATTAAAAAAGGAAGAATAAATAACCTTAAAAATTCAATTTTATTGTGAAAATTGTTTTTCTTGTCAAATATTTATGATCATTTATACAATCACCAGTTAAATGCTGTTATTATTATTTCGAAATTTATAGATTTAGCAAAAATAAAAACTTGCATTTAAATTTTGATAGCATTATTTACATTTTGTATTTCTTTAAATCGCAAAAATCAATCTGGCATTTGTGTCAATTGTCCAACCAGCGCAATAATATATGCATGTAAAACTTTCTGAATTTACAGTAATTGACTTCAGATGTGCATTGTTAAAACCCTACTGTGGCCTGTAATTGTGTGCATCTTTGATCTTCGCTAATTTATGAATTAGAATCTCGTTTGTAATAATACAACATCCCTTTATTTTTGTATTACCTCACATTCAGTAAAATGGCTCATTATTTTTCCTTCAGAATGTAGAAAACCATAGTAAAATTAAAATTCAACACCTAAAGTGATGGCATCTACAAAGTTTGTTAATGCTACTCGATGCTGGAATCAATATAACACCAATTTAAATGGTTCGCACAGTTGAAAGTATGTGATTTTGGCTTTTTCTCTCTTTTGGTTATACTGCTCCGAAAGTATTTACACATCCCAGGTTTTTCAAAGTTTTGCTTTATCTATGTATAAAGTCTTAAGTAATTTATACTTACTTTTACATCTAGTCTTGATCACAACATAGATAATTATTGTGATAAATGCCATGACCGAAACAGTGCAGGCTATGATTCCTAACAGAATTGGGATTGTTATAACGCCTGAAAAATGTAAGAACATGATTGACTTAAACATCTTAATCAAAGGAATGAATTGAAAAAAAACAATTATTGAATGTAAAACGGTTTTCATAGCTTCTATCTAATTGTTAAAGTAAATGTATAGGTGTGTCTGTTCGTCGAAGAAGAACAAGCGCGATATGCAGAAAAAGCATTTTAATATGCATATTAAATCGCAATATTACTTTTAGACAATAGACAAAAGGTCTAAGCTAAACGATTATCACTTGCCATCCAATGTTGTTATAGATTTAGCCATGTTCATTTGTACGAACAAACAAATTTGTATCAAAAATGCAAAGAAAACGAACTTTTATGTTTATTTTTTTAAATAAAAAGATACACACAGATTGATAGACACACATTGTACCCAATGTAGTATATAAAGCTATATTCTAGTTTATTTTTCATAAAAAATCAAAGGGACCTTCTTTTTAAACTGTCATAAAACATATAATATTGGTAGAGTCAATTTCACTTCTCATATGACATAAAAATATATGCCATTGAAGTGCTGAGGGGACCAACGAACAGAAAGACAGATAGACAGTGATAACTATAGGGCAATGCTGAAAAGTAGGAAGGTGTCTAAAAGTTTTTCAGTACAATACTAAGAATTAAAATGTTTTAAAATAAATCGATACCAGCCAATTATACATAAGGGATTTGTTTACATGACAACAAATTAAATCTGAACAGAAAGAAAAAAAACCCACCAAAGATCACTTACTAAAAGTAATTAGATTTAAATATGTTTTGATGGTAGACTATATATAACAGAATAGGTAGTAAGCAGTGTACTAGGATGAAAAAGATAGGAATACAACTGCTTTCATCTGTAGAAATCTAACATAGAGATGTTAGATGATACATGTATATCATTTTCCCTGGAAAATTTGGCCAACAACAAAAAGTACATTATCTGATCTAACAGTTCCTTGCTTAATATAATTATTAAACTTACTTTGGTTATCAATATTTTGTTTTGATGATTTTGCATCAGTGGTCTGTTCAATATCCATGATTTCAGTTGTCGCAGGAGTCATCTCTTTAAGAAAGATACCAAATAAAAAAAACCAAACAATTTCGAATATACATCAAGGAGGAGAACTGTTTCGTTAAGATCTAAATCAACTTATACTTAGACTCATTGAATGACTTTTGATATGTGTTTGGAAAAACCTACCTATAATTATTTTGGTTTCAAAGGTTCCAAGTGGTAAAGTTGAAGTCCTTCCTTCGAAAGTTTTACGGACGCCATCGCGAGTTGGTTGAACGTTATGGAATATCTGTTTCATAGATGCCAATTGTCGTAACAACAATCACGACCTCTTTTCATCGAATGTGACTTGTCACTGAATTTGTACTTACATGAGCAATATGATGGGACCACATGTGGAGAATTCGAAGGATCTGTTTTCCCCGGTTTTGGTGGGGTTTATGTTGCCATATATTTAGTTTTATTTCTCGTGTTTTGTAGACTGTATTTTGTCTTTTCGTCGAGTTTTGTTTTGGGGCCATGGTGTTGTCAGTTTATTCTCGACTTATGAGTTTGGCTATCCCTATCATATCTTCCAAATCTCTTTGTTTTATGAATGAATTATAAGATATTGTATTCCAGTAATAATGAAATCCTCCACGAATGATTCGAGCGTCACTGTTGAGTCTTTTGTAGACGAAACGTGTCTGGTGTACAAAAAGGTTAAGCCTGATATCTATGATGAGTTTATCCACAAAATTACTTTAACTACAGAATTGACGGATTTTCTATCAAACTTACTTTGTTCCTTGGTAAGTTGCATAAATGACATAGTAACAGTTGTCAGTTCATTATCTAAGATTTCTGTTGTCGCAGGAGTCGTTTCTGTAATAAAATCAATTACCAACAATGAGAAGAGCAATTTAACAGGTCGACTTCACTATATTTATGACGCAGAATACATTTGCATACTTATAAATGGCAGAAAATGTAAACAAAAGTTACAAAGGAGGAAAAACAAAGCATTATGAGCCAGTCTATAAATTGACATGTGCATTCTATTAGAAAAGAAAGGCGAAAGATACCAAAGGGATATTCAAACTCATAAGTAAACAAAACTGACAATGTCATGTCAAAAACAAAAACGACGAAAAGACAAACAACAGTTCACAAAACACAACATAAAAAACTAAAGACTGAGCAACACGAACCCCTACAAAAACCGAGGGTGATCTCAGGTGCTCCGGAAGGATAAGCAGATCCTGCTCCACATGTGACACCCGTCGAGTAACTCTTATAAAAATATGTTGACTAGTTATATCAAGTGATAAGGCATCACGCAATAACGGATTGGTAATTAACTCTGATTTAACCCTAAGAAATCACCAAATCATAAACCATTTCAACGCTGCAATTTGACCGAATGTCAAATTTTGAAATTGAAACAAGTTTTTCATGACAAAGGATAGACAAGACTGTTACCGGTATAAATATCAAAGACAAACAGAAAATAAATAGTACAAAGAAAAACACTAAAAACTAAAACAAGAGCTAAACGAACCCCTTTAAAACCAAACTAGGAGTAATCGCAAGTGCTCCGGAAGGGTAAATAGATCCTACTCTACACGTGACACCCGTCGTATTGCTCATGTTAGTACAACCCCGGTGATAAGTCTAATTCGGTAGGTCACATTCGTGGAAAAGAGGAATGGATTGTGGTTATGACGATTGGAACATACCCCGTCGTCATCTGTGAAACAGATAATCATTTTTGAGTTTTATTTGTTTCATAACACATAATTTTTTTTTATTGATTGACAATTTAACCAGATTGCTCGGGAGCACACCACTGAAAATAATGTTTGTTTCACTGTTGACAAAAAATAATTAACTGCGTTGTTAGTTAATATTTTCAAACAAAATACATTTGCATTTTCTTTTGCCATTCTTCATAAACAAAAAAAAAACGTGACCAGGATTTTTGCACATTAATATTTGGTGAGTTTAAAATATTTTTGGTTTAGATGTCAAGGCTTCCGGTATTTAATGTCTAACTTAATTAACAAAGGGTATACTTAAACACCAGAGCAGGAAAGATACTTAACTATCTAAGAACGATATACGTATATGTTTTCCTATCATTTCAATTCATATGAGCATTGCAGAAGAATACCTTTTATAAAAATATTAAAATATTAACTGTTAGGATTTATGAAAGTTCCCATTGTTTCAAAATTAGGACACACAAATTCGTTCCAGCAATGGAATATTTGTTTTGTATGTTGCTTATTATGTTTCACTAAAAACATATTTACACAGCATGATTTAAAGGCACTTTAGGTCCCACGAATTTTTTTTTTAAAGATATTAAATTGAATTTCCAGACAGTGAATTTTAGGACAAGCAACACACCCAACAAGTAGATAGATCTATTTTGATATCCAGTGTCGATTGAAATACAACAATCGTTGCAAATTTAACAATTGTGAGTCCAAATTACCCTATGTGCTTTCGAATAACTTTTTGAACAAAGCGAAAGAAAAGATTCATTTTAGAATAATCAATAGCATCGCGTGAAAGCTAATTTGTAGGTTGGAAATTCAATATTAACCTGTTTTTTTTTATTGGAAACTTTTAAATAAAAAAAATCAACTTGCACTGATTTAAGTGCAATAAACTTTATCAATACTTAAACTGTTTGAAGTTTTAGGAATAGTCATCACATGTAAATATTTCAAAATGCTTTTCGTGCTAGTTGTGAGGATGACCCAACCAGTTAGCGTAAAAAACGAGTGGGAACCTGAGATGAATTGACAGGTGAACTATGCCGTCTGAGCTGTTTTGCAACTGATAATTATTCTTTTATTTTAGAATAAAAAGTAATTTTTCATTCCAACATTTTCCTTTGATGATGTTTCAATATAGGGTACTTTCAAACAGGTATTTTTTTTTATTAAATTCCTCTAGGTCACTTTTGGGCATATAGTTGTTCACTTAAACACATACTTATGCATCCTTGGCTTTCAAATATTTGGCCTTGAACGTTCCTGATGTAGGTAAATCCAGAAAAGCGCTTCGGACACATAAAACTTACAAAGTTATATCACACCCTTGTCTGATGGAAATAGTAAACGGAAAGATAAAAAATAATCAATTAACTTGAGGTTTCACACGCTGGTGAATCTAATCCAACTCATCTCATTTATTCGGAAGAAAGTTGGCAATTTAGGCTATTGACAGTCGATTGCATGTTGTCGCAATCGGTTTCGACTGAATAGACTTTTCCCAAAATTAGCTTGTAGATACATTTATTGTAGCTCGAAGTTAAGTACATTTGTCATTCTTTCTTATTCTTCGTAGCAGAAATAACTTACTTTGATCAACGATATTGTTCATTGTTGTTAGTGCAACTGGTTGAGTCGTCTCCGGCCTTTTTGAAGTTATTGATAAACTTTCACTCCCAGTTGTGGTTTCTGAAACATATGAGGGATTTTAAGCGTGTGGACAAATTACTTTCCATTGAATACAAATATATACATTAAAGAGATTTAATTAAGATTAAACTTAACCTTTCATTATTTATTACCTTAAATCATCTTGTTCTTTTAAACTATCTATAAAATTTCGTTGGAAATGTAAGGCTTCCGTTTTGACACCGTCTTTCTTTGTGGTTCGTATCTTCTCCATACAAATAGCAGAATACTAGTATATAAATTCCTTCTATGTACTTGTTTTCTGCTCCAATGACATTTTCACAAGTAGGCAATAGGAACTGTTGATTTACCGAAATGCATATAATCCAACCCTTAAAAACTGTTTTTGTCGTTTACATGTTTGTGATGAATATCAGGCATGATACCGAGCCAGCGATGTTATAGTAAAATTGTCTATCTACTTGTTTTATAGATGACAGACAAAAGCGACAAAAAACCGGTATAAATGACGATAACTTGTATTTACCGTCCGTCTAATACAAACCTTTACACTCCTCAACATTCGAAATATCTTTGATTATTAGTCCATTTAGGTTAGAACAAACAGCACCATGTGCATTTGTGTGTGTCTGCTGCAATAACCAAAGGTGAAACGAACGGATTCTGCAATCACATATTAAACTGTTTGATTCGAGTGACCTGAAAAAATAACCCATAATATAATAAAAATTGTTCAGTAAAACATGCTCTTTTATTTTCAAAGTTACATTTTATTTCAAATTAACAGGATAGATAATATTTCATTTTAATCTTTTATTTATAATTAAACAATAACAATAACGCAAACAGCAGATAAAGAGCAACATTTTGGGCGGGATGAACCTCACTAAAACCAAGGGTTGATGAGTTCGAATCTTTTAAACCTCAACCTATCAAGAAGAAGGAATGATAATAAAATTGAGAATGGAAACGGGGAATGTGTCAAAGAGACAGCAACCCGACCAAAGAGCAGTCTTTTTTTACCCCCTGAAGTAAAAAGAATGCAAAGTGTTATGAATTAATTATAACCATATTTCCTAAGTCACAAGACATTGTGAGATATCAATTGTAATATATTTGAATTTCATCTTGCATATTTTATAAAGGCCTTGACGAGACGCACGTCTGGCGTATTGAATTTTAAGCCTAGTACCTTTTGTTAGCTATTATTCGTGTGTTTCTTTGTCCTATATGTTCTCCCATTTATTTGTATTGTGGTCCTGTCATGTGATGTTGTCGTTTTGGTGTTGTGTTTGTCGTTGCCATAAAAGCGGGAGGTTTGGCATGCCACAAAACCAGGTTCAACCCACCATTTTTTTCTTAAAATGTCCTGTACCAAGTCAGGAAAATGGCCATTGTTATATTATAGTTCGTTTCTGTGTGTGTTACATTTTAATGTTGTGTTTTTGTTGTGTCGTTGTTCTCCTCTTATATTTGATGCGTTTCCCTCAGTTTTAGTTTGTAACCCGGATTTGTTTTTATCTCTATCGATTTATGAGTTTTCGAACAGCGGTATACTACTGTTGCCTTTACTTGACAACTTTATCATTTTAAAACGTACAGCAAAAACTGCCAAAAGAGTCTCAAATTATTGAAATGTTGTAAGTTAATATTTAGATGTTTGATTTAATATAAAAAAAACGTCCAGATATTAGTCAACGATCTTTCTTACGAGGGCGCTGGATCGTTTTGAAATCGATTTTGTACACAATAAATTAAATAAATAAATATGTCTGAAAAAGTATACAAAACAACTACAATATCAAAACAAGGAAACAATAAATGTAAGTACATGTATCTATAAATATTTCGGATAACAGATATCCTTCATCAGTATGATTATGATACTAACATGCCCCATGAAGATGGTATTGAAGCATGTAGGGAAGTCTGGACCTCTCACAGCACCTTAAACCCATCAACTCAATGTTTAATCCAGCTTCTAACTTTGGTATTGAAATGCAATAACTTCACATCCAATGGTGAACACTATCTCCAGGTTAATGGAACAGCAATGGGAACAAAGATGGCCCCGTCTTATGCCAATATTTTTATGGGCAACTAGAACAGCAAATTCTCAATTCTTCTCTTTATCAACATCTCTCTTGGTTCCGATTTATCGACGATATTGACATGACGATGGATAATACTGAACAAAAACTCAATGTGTTCATTCAACATGCCAACGATGCCCATCCCTCAATACAATTCACTTATGGAATCTCTGACTCTAAGATCACATTTAATGACACAGCTACGCAAGTGAAGGATGGAATCATGTGCTGACTAACCATCCCATATTTGACAAGTTATCACACCTTATTCGCGAAAATTGGAAAGAAATAGAAAAAAAATCCTAAACTATCCAAGATCTTCCGCGAGGCACCCGTACTGGCTTTCCGTCGGCCCAAAAGCCTTATAGACAAGCTAATGAGAGCTGATTTATCCTCTTAATCAGGCTCTTCGTCAGTGGACTCTTGCAATGGGTATGGGAACAAACGATGGTTGTAATTTTTTTTCTCTTTCTCATATTGTTTTCTCGTTTATTGTTTTGCATAATTTGTTCTTATGTTGTGCCGTTACACCACTGTCCCAGGTTAGGGGGAGGGTTGGCGCCTTCAAACTAGTTTATCCCCGCCACATTCTGTATGTGCATTTCCCAAGTTAAGATCCCGTAGTTCAGTGGTTGTCGTTAGTTCATGTCTGTCATATTTGTTTTTCGCAAATTGTTTTGTTATAAATAAGGGCGTAAGTTTTCTCAATGGATTAATTCATATTTTTCATGTCAGGGCCTTTTATAGCCGACTATACAGGATGGGTTTATCTCATTGTTGAAGGCCGTACGGTTGCTTACATTCATATCATTTAAATTTTGATAGATAGTTGTCTCATTGGCAATCATACTACATCTTCTTATTTTTATAATGGTCTAGGGAAGAGAGACTCACTTGGAAAAATTTTGTATCAGAAAATTAACAACGTTGGCTCCAAATGGAATCAATGAAAAGGTGTAGTTCTAATCGCGCAGTGCTATTCATTTGGGTTGTATAACTACGCAGTATCTGTTGTAATTCCTTTACTGCCATCAACTCTGAAAATTCTAGAATTATACCAGTTTAAATCTAACGGTGCTATTCATTTGGGATGTATAAATACGCAGCATCAAGTCAGGAATATGGCAGTTGTTATCACATAGTCCGTTTCTGAACAGCGGTATACTACTATTGCCTTTATTTATTATTTAACCTTCGTCAAAATTTAAAATTTAAAAATTATACCAGTTCAAATCGAACAGTGCTATTCATTTGGGATGTATAAATACGCAGCCTCTGTTGTAATTAATTAACTTTCGTCAAATTTGAAATTTTAGTATTATACTAGTTCAAATCGGTCAGTATACCAACACCAACAAAAGCTATATTTATATATAGTCTAGTTGGTCGAGTGGTCTAGGGCGCTGGACATAGTACAGGCGGTGTTCCCATGATGTCATAGAAGCAAGGGTTCGAATCCCGCTAAGGGAAGAACATAAATTTGATAATGCAAATTTGCAGAGCTTACCTTGATGGGCTAAATTTGAGACGAATGATATATAGATGCCTAAGAATGTAACTTTAACACGCTAATGAGTGTTATCAAAATAGTTGTTATATTTTATAAATTCACGCAATATTTCGCTTAATAAATTAGCTTCATCAGGCGCGTGCAGCCATCCAGGAAAAATCGGATGCTGTTAAGCTGTTTTGCAGCTCATTGTTCACGTCCTTTAAAGAGGGGGGCGATAGGGGGTCAGTTAACATGTAAACAACACCTCGATTTTGGCAAAAACAGTTAACAAAAAATATTAAATGCTGATAACAGTTAACACCAACTTTAATCTATCTCTTTTTTCTCAAATCAACCCAAAAGCAATGAAAAGGTGAAATGCACACCTTCAATGTGTTCAGAACTACTGTAAAACGTCTCAGAAATGTCAAGCTCTAAGGAATCTTAAAGCCGTGATCAAGTTTCAGATTACACAAACAAGTACCATCTTTTTATGATGGACATATGGACAGACAGATGAACGGACAGACAGACGGACAGAATGATTGACTCATGGACAGGCATTCGCCGTAAGCAATGCAGATAAAAATATATCATATAAACTAGAAAAATGACTACTTCATGAAGGGCCCCACCGGCCTAAGTCCAATTTCTCGGACATGAATAATCGAAAACGCTTCAAAATCAAAAGGGACCTTCCTCTGGTGATGTTTATTTTTGCCTTTACATTTTATTTCAATCAGTCAAAGCAAACTTGGGAAATCGTACGACATAGGAAAGTGTGACAGACAGATAGACAGAGTGATTACGATAGGGCGCGACCATTAATTTTTATGGCGGAGGCCCTTATAAATTATTGTTACATCTCAGTGTAATCATACGATTCATAGCTTACATGCTTTTATAAAAAGGAACTAGAAAAGTTTACTGATCTCTATTGCGAATCATTAAAACCAATTATAAATCATAAAGTACCCTGTAAGGTCTCACAAGATGAAGCAGCTAACATCTCTCCCATCTCCAAGTCCCAAGAACTCTGAGTAGATATAGAAAAAGCCTTTGGCCCATCTTTACATTTCTGAAGTCTAGCAAGTTTTACATCAATATGAGGACCAAGTCCTTGTTTTTCTGCCTCCCCTGCCAGGCCACACTGTTTAGTTATTTTGCCAATTGCAAACTGAAACAGTACGAGAGGGTTGGTGGTAAGGGTAACCCTTTTCCTTTCTTTATTTTTCACAACTCCATTGAGGTGCTTTGGGTCAATGTAACTTATTAAACACTATTATCTTAATCTCATTGTCATTGTTTTTATCTTGGGATTGAGCGGGGGCTGAGCTGGGTCAGAACATCTCCTCTGGTCAGAAGTGGCCATTCCTGTTAACGTGGGGATAAATTAAATAGGGGACGGAAATAAACTACATTCGCTAGAGGTATAGGGGAGAGTTGAGATCTCACAAAAAATGTTTAACCCCGCCGCATTTTTTGCGCCTGTCCCAAGTCAGGAACCATTGGTCATTGTTAGTCTTGTATGTTTTTTTAATTTCGGTTCATTTATATGGTTCGGAGTTTAGTGTGACGTCTATTTTCGCGGAACTAGTATACATTATTGTTTAGGGACAGCTGAAGCCAGCCTCCGGATACGGGATTTTCTCGCTGTGTTGAAGACCAATTGGTGTCCTTCGGCTGTTTTCTGCTCTTTGGTCGGGTTGTTGTCTCTTTGACACATTCCCCGTTTCCATTCTCAATTTTATAAAGATCTCCAAAGACAGTTACATTTCAACTTCCCAATAATCAATTTCCCATTTCTCAGCAGTAACATACCCTATGCTCCGTCGTATGGTGTTTACATATCTCAATTGATAGGTTATGCTCGTCATGTTCACACTATACGGACTTCATATACAGGAGTGTGCTCCTTACGCAGAAACTGTTCCAACAGAGTTATGAGGAGGAAAGATTAAAAATGACACTCCGTAAATTTTATGGACACCATCACGAATTGGTAGATCTTTACGATGTGTCTGTGTCTAAACTAACTAATGACATTTTTACCACGTCTTAGATTGTGGTTTAACATCTATGTCGTCTGTCTGCTAAGTACCGAACGTGACCTATTCCCGAATATGACTGTTTTGCCGAATGTGAATTTGCATTGCTATACGACGTGTCTCGGTATTTTATACAATCAACATTCATCTATTTATTTATGATATTTCTGTTGTGGTTTTGGTTGGATAATGTGTTATGTCTTATCGTTTGTAGTCCAAATAATTATAAAATAGCCTTTCAATACCGTCATTATCATGATAATTGTTTGGACTAATATTGTGAAAATAATTGTATGAATTTCAAGATTATATATTCGTTACAAAAATACGTCACTGTTTGTGATGTCCTGTGCTGTCTGTCGTTAATGGAAGATGTTCGTTGTTATTTTGCGGTTTACATGTTGTGTCGACTATTATATTATTTATTTGTGCATTTCTCTGTGATGAGTGTTCTTGCGTGTGTTTGTGCTGTTTTTCTGTCACGTAGTGTTGTCATTTTAGAGATATTTTTTAACATTGCCATATAAGCAGGAGATTTGGCTAGCCATAAAACCAGGTTCAACCCACCATTTTTTTCTTAAAATGTCCTGTACCAAGTCAGGAATATGGCAGTTGTTATCAAATAGTTCGTTTCTATGTATGTTGACGTTTGTTTTTGTTGCACCTCGATTTTAGTTTGTAACCCGGATTTGTTTTCTCTCAATCGATTTATGACTTTTGAACAGCAGTATACTACTGTTGCCTTTACATATATGCTGTTTATGTTACTCCTTTGAAGGAGCATCGTAAAGAAAGAGATTAACAGCAAATTTAATGTGATTAACTACAACTCTAGTGTGAATCTTGAAAATTCTTGTAAATAACAGTTAACAGAGATAAATTATGTCCAAAACAGTGAACACTTTAAGTGTCAAGTAACAGATAACAGGAATCCCATTTTCATATAAAACAGTTAACAACATTGCAAATTTTAACAGAACCGATAACAGAAAGTGGGTTGAAAACAGTTAACAGTTTATATATATTTCAAATAACACCCTGAAATAGTCCAAAACAGGTTAACAGAAAAAGGTATTGACCCCCCCCCCCCCTCTTTAAATATATTTTTGCAGCTTATTGTACATGTCTTTTAAATATATTTTTGCAGCTTATTGTACATGTCTTTTAAATATATTTTTGCAGCTTATTGTACATGTCTTTTAAATATATTTTTGCAGCTTATTGTACATGTCTTTTAAATATATTTTTGCAGCTTATTGTACATTGCGATTAATAGATCAAAACATATAATTGTGTTAGTTAAATAGTATGAAAATTTATTCCTTTGGTTTTTGATAAAACTGTTTTTCATCTCTCTCATTCAGTCCATCAGATTCAAGAGTACGTAGCTGATGCTCCAGAATCTCTCTCTCTGTTTTCTACTTTGGGTATACCAATATTGGTTGACCTCTATTATTTGAAAGGCGATATTTTCAAAAGTATGTCTGTTCTTAAGAGTTGGCTCGTGATTGGGCAGTTTCTTCTTTTAAATTTGGTATAAAATGACCGGTGATTATTAAGTCTGATGTTGAATTTAGTTTCTGTTTCGCTAACATATTGCAACGTGCAAGTTCCACAAGTAAGAATATGAATACTATTTTCCGTTTTACAATTAGATGTTACATAGATGTTGTATCGCTATTCTGTAACTGTGCTGGTGAAAGAGTTTTCAGTGTTGGCGACTTTACAGCACACATAATTGCTTTCTTCCGCATTGTTTGTAACACCCGATTTTAGAGGTCTCTTGCTTTTTTAACTTTAGATCTAACAAGTATATCTTTGAGATTTTTGGGTCTGCGATAAGCATTCTTTTAAGTAAGAGTCATTTTCAATAAGACGCCAGTGCTTGTGGACTGTAGGTGAAATATTTGTCAGATCGGGATAACAAGTGACAACAAACGGAATTCTATCTGTGCGGGTCGTCTTATCTTTGTATTCCACGAGAATCTTTCGATCTTTTTCTTGGGCTTTACTGAAAGCTTCCGTGATAAGTGCCTAGAAAATCAACCTAACAATATAAAAGTAGATCGGATTCATAACTACCTCCCCAACCGGGGCTGGAAATTTTACTTTTTTCTCTAACTTCTATGACAAAGCCGCCTATCATTGCGCAGACGCCTCCCCCCCCCCCCCCTCGAACTATATCTAATATTAACGGCCGTGCCATGCTGGGAGGCGTTGTCATAAAAGTTAAAGTATAGGTGCCAGCCCCGTTTGTGGAAGAAGAAAAGAATCAGATCTTCTCTAACATTGTTAGGTTGATTTTGAAGGCACTTTATAATAATAATTCAGACGCTTGGTATTTCTTAATCATATGAATTCCAATGGACAAGGTTCTGAAATATCAAAAATTTTATGGTTTCCCCCACATTAATCTTTTAAGCCTAAAACATAGCCTTATTATCAATAAAAGATATATTCTTTAAAAGTTTGGCCCATTGGCTTCATTTCCTGAAGAAATTTTCCATAATATAGATTGATACCCTTTGTGGTCATTTTATTATCTAATACGTGACATTTTTGCCGGTCAGCAAAAGTCCATGAAGAGAATGGCTCAAGTTAAAAATGAATTACGTACAAGAGAAGTAGATCCTGAAGATCTCCAAAGGCATTGATTTCGATTTGCAAAATACTGTTTCTACCTAAAGTTCTAAAACAGAAAATAGTGTAAGATTAGTAATATGTACAAATAAACAATATAATTTAGGTAGCAATCAATTGGCTTTGTTTAATATTAAAAACAAAGGATTAGAATTCTCAAGTGCAACCCTACAAGTGTTTGCTTTGTGCAACGTTACCATTAATTACTGCTGGCTAAAATCGTTTACATGAAACCCTTCTACATAACCTCAAAATAAAATCCTGATATTTGTGGTTATACTTTTGGCCAGTAAAATTGTTCCACGATTTATGGTATTAAATTCCTTTCTTCAATTATGAGCATACCACAAAATTTTACAGACGTCATTATGATTTGGTTGACTATAATGAAATGTTTGTGTAACAAATGACAGAATGTATTCCAATTGCCATTGCCACAATCCCAATTCCGTAACCTCGATTACAATTTTACAGAGTGCCACTTATCACCAAATTTGTACTAGCCATAATAAACACGATAAGTGCAGATGTAGAACGAGTACAATTTACACTTTCGAAGCTTCTGAATTCAAATCCATGTTTTGTAAAAATCCAATCCTTAATTTTCTTTGTAATGTTTTTAATAGATAGTTGTTTGTCTCTTCATTGTGTTTCTTTTGGATATGATGGTTTCTTTTTTTTCAAATGCAAGTTTGTGATAGCCCCCTTGTTATTAAAAATAGGAAATAGTAGCCCTGGAATGACGTATCAACTGGGAGATATATACTCTATAATCAGACGATGCTGGAATGCTGCTGCATAGAAATGAAAATTTCACGTTTGAAAAAGGAGACTGAAAAAAATAAAGGGAACTAAAAAAGTCTACTCCGAAAGTTTGTGATAAGAAATTTTACAATAACGGATTGATAAATGTATTGGGTCTAATCCTTGATATAGCTAAATTAAAAAAAAAACAATCGGTTTATGTAAGTTCTTTTACCATAAAACTTGTAAAAGTTTATAAGAAAAGCAAGATTGTTAAGAACAAAGGATAAAAGAGACTGGTAGAGACAACATAGACATTTGAAAAATAAAATTGCACAAAATGCAACATTAAAACTATAGTAAACGCAGTTCACGAACTCCTATAAGATCGATAACACTAGGGGATGTACTTAGTACAATATGGGTTATTGTGTTAATCGTCGAAATAAAAAGTACAATTTCTCCAGATATTCCACAACGGTCAACCAATTCAGGATGAAGCTATAAAACATTCATACGGCTGACTTTACCACTTGTTTAACTTGGCCAATTAATTCCCGATAAGCATCAACCCTCAATTAAAAATAATGTTAGGAAACGCAAGCCCTGTAGAATTGTATCAGCTGGGAAATTATATAATATATTCCATCCATATTCTGATGCTGTAAAAATGTTGCTACACAGAAATGGAAGGATCACAATGAGAAGATTGAAATTCTCTCTTTTGTCAAAACGATAAACTGGAAACCGACTCTCATGGTCGATCAGTAGATGTAAATCAAGATATTAATTGAATGAAGTAGACCTAATTGTATCAATGATATTCCATATTTTCTCAAACAATGTGGCAGCAGACAACAGAAGCTATGATTGGTTGCGTCTGAGTATAGGGTGACATGTAATTGTTGAGAAAACATGACGGAAATATGTTACGAACGGATAAACAGAGGGGCAAACGGACTAACGTACGGAAGGAAGAACAGACAGACACATTTCAACCATTATGATCCCGTCTTTTTAAAGAGGGTAAAACGATATCACAATTATATAAACCACTCATAAATTAAAAAGATATCTTGTAATTCATTCCAAACAGGGAAAAACATAATTGCAAAGTACTGCACTGGAGTATTAGGCGGGTGATACCATCGGGAACTGATAGTACAGTAGCCTTTGTATCGACCACATGGTAGGAAGTTTCATGAATTTAATTTACTGTGGTATTGGGAAATATTGTTTTAAATTGAAATTAAACAACTATAAAGCATTATGTTAAAGCATGCCAAAACCGAGGCAATAGCTTCTAGAATGGTAACAACTTTCAACTTTCAGTCTTATCAATTTTTAAAGCGATTTAAAGTTGACTTATGATTTCATTTGCAGGAATTTTTCTTAAAGTGGTATTTCGCATTCATGTTTTTACAGCAATAATTTTATTCTAAAGCTGCCATGTATGGACATTTTCTGTAAAATCTTGCTTTTTGATTTAATTCATAAAAGATATAATTATATTGCTGTGTTTTAACAACTGCCTATGATATATTTAGTGATATTAATTCGATAATTGTTTATTGGAGCAAAATTAAAATGACTTTTTAGTTATTCTGCAGTTAATTCTAGGTAATGCCCAAGATCCAATATTCCTGTACTGTTTATATCGTGGCTATATGTAATCTTTTATGAAGTAACAGTCATCGATATTAGTGTGAAGGGTGGCCGATTTGTATCGGTCGGATAAGTACTATGATCTTGCTTTCTGTTACTGCGATCATTCTTTAATACGATATAATTTTGTTGATTATTCCTTCTTTGTGTTTGTTCTTGTTGTCTGTAACAACGTTATTTTAGAGTAAAGTGCCTTTTTCTTTCGTTTTTTTCGTTTTGCTGTTTTATTGTATTGTCTTTTGTATTGTTTGAGTTGGTATATTGCTTGAGATCAAAAGGAGTAGTTTTAGACCTTAAAAGTAGTTAAAACTCTGCAAAATATTCATGTGTCAAGAAATTCATCAGAGGTTGTCTTGTGACATATATATTAATTAAATTTGTTATTAAAAGAATTTAGTGTTGATGGCAGATCTTTGATTAATTTCTGATAGGTACTGACGTTGTTTATCATCTAAACTATGTGTCATAGTGGTTTTTTTTATTTGTCTTTGTAAATTATTAACCTTTACTGTTTAGTCCATTCTTAGTAATATCCTTTTCGCGTGGCTCGGTACTAGTATATCCCGCCATTGTGTTATAGTACTATGGCCATTTTTCGTATTCTTGTCTTTCATTTATGCTTATGTGCTTTGTCTATATGCTATTTTGTTTTTCTTTGATGACATATTTGTTTGTTTTTATAGTAATTAAGATTATAACACAATGACTGCTGTACCCCTATTTTTGACATTTTTACCTATTATGTCTGTTTGTTTTGTTCACACATTGTTGTCAATACAATGGGATTTTATGCGACTGTCATACAAATGAGAGGTTTGTCTAGCTATAAAACCAGGATAAATCCACCTGGAGTTCGGTATTTTTGTTATTTTGTTATTTTACTTTTTCTTTTTCTTTTTTTTCAATGTTTTTAGGCTTGGAGACGATTAAGAGCTTGGTAAATTGTATATATACCACTTCATTACCAAAGACTGTTGACTTCTGATGTCATTTGGTTGAATGTGTCGAATATTTTAGATTTTTTTTTATTCGCGTACAATGCAGGATTTCTGTATAATGACGGTAAACAATAATCTAATTGAACTTTTGATCGTATAGCTCCTCACGTTTTGATGTATTTATACATCCTTGGTGTATAATCTGGACTTTAAATCCTATTTTAAAATGGCCATTCAAACACAAGTTTTAATTCAATGCTAGTTGAGTATTGTCAATATTTTGGGAAGTTGTCTAGATATACATACGAAAATAAACAACATTTTTTTAATAAAATTTACTTATTAATAAAAATACATATTCTGTTTCAAACAATATGAATAAATAGTATAAAAAATATTTGGATGTTCCCAAATTCCTAATTTTTGATTGCTTCAGCATATCAATTGTGCATATTACAACACTAGGTATATAACCTGGTACTATAAATTAATACAATTTTTCAAGCATGTTTTTATTAAAAATATTTATTTATTATAAATAAAAACAGCAACAGCTGTAGTTAACTGATTTTCAAATCTCTTTGATTTAATTTGAATATACAAACAATAAAAATAACAACTGAGGGAATCGCCTGAACTCAAAGGGAGCTAGACCGGTACATTTGACAGGGTAGGCATCTACTGCTACGCATGTTCCACCCGTTTTGTGAATCCAGAATCATTTAAAATGTCAAGATAGGGAAAAGACACAATCGGTAAATTTACAGAAAACATGTCTCATGTGAGTCGATGTCATAGACATGTTGAATTGGTTATTCAATTCGTGAAAAAATGTCACTTTTAATAGCTGCATTAATCTTGTACACCTTATGAATTTTACATATCATATCAAGGTGTATATGGGTAGCTGCAAAAAGTGTTACGGAAATATACTTATTTGACCTCGTGTTTTGTAATTGAAATGTTTATTTATTTTAAAGCATAAGCCATCGCCGTAGCATCAGGATATTAAATCATTCGAAATAAGGCCGCCCGAAATATATGATTACTGTTTGTTTGATAGATATGACAATTATATGTGTATTGAATTGAAAAAGAATCAGATGTGTTGTCTTCTTTACTTGAATTATGCATATTACACATGGTAACAGTTTACAAAATACATATTGTTGACAAACTCCAACAACCAACATTGAGGGTATTTCATTTTCCTTAATTGAAAGCAAGAAAAACTATTTCACTATCAAACTACATTGAAAATGGACAATCTTAAAACTTAAAAGATGACATCGACACCATCTTGTCATAACTGTTTAATATCAAACTATAATTATGAGAGTAATTTTAAAATCAGAATTAAAATTGATCTTGAGATTGCTCTTTAACCTCATCTTTATCTGACCATCTCTAAGTTGTACGACTGACTATTCTCGTTACAAGTCTTTCCTTTTCAATGATAAAATAACTGCGGTGTTGCACATATCATAAGTGAATAAGTGTACTCACTCATTGGTTAATTTATATCCAACATCTTCATTCATGTATCCGTTAACAAGTATGAGGTTATAGCATATCAATTACTTACAGGATATTCAGTTTAGGCATATTCACAAAAGTTTCACTCTTGATTGTCTGTAAAGAATTGTCGTCTAAATGTCTGTAAAGATTAAATATCTTGATAATTAAAGCAGATATTAATAACGATACCAGCATTTCAAAGTGTTTCCTCCAATTTCCTGACTATACAGGTTCTTGACTTACCATTGAATTATCAATGTCATGCAACAAATTTTGTGAACCAAATTTTTTTCGTGTTCGATCTCTAATGATGTTTTTATCTGTATTGTGTTTTTATTGACTTTAAGAACATGAGTTTGCGTTTTTGTCCTTAACTTATGGTGTTATCTGTCTTTCTTCTATGCATAATTTTTCATTGATCATTTGTGATCTTCTTTTATCGATTGAAACTTTTAATCAACGATTTCACGACGAAAAGATATATTGTACTTTATTTAATATATAACAATACTCTCATACAGTAATTGGTACAAAGAATAATTTTTGTTGGTAACCAAACTAACTTCATCTGTAGGTGTTGAATAGCTTTTCGTAAAATGTGTTAATCTTTGCACCATACTTAAAATGAGCATTATTTTTAGTTTACAATTTAGACATATTTTTATGTGTACTTACATTATCTCAACTCCGGTTAGGTATCTGAAAGCATTGCTTTGTATTTCCCGAATTTTATTGTTCTTGAGATTCCTGAAAATAGCATACATCTTTGACGTAACAGTAGCGAACGATCATGCGTACTGTTAAAACTAAAAAACACGCTTGGTAAGTTTCATTCATTTCATGTGATATTGGAGTTTTTGTGTCTTATTTCAAAAATAATAAGATGCGGTATTAATGCCAATCAAACAACTATCCATCAAAAACAAAAAACGGAACCATCCAATTGCTGTTATTCTGAACAGGGGTAGCTTTTACCATTGATTATACAGATATGGCAGTTTAAATTAATTGTTAGCAGTTGGACTAAATATTCGGTCCCTGGTTTCTACACCGGCTTCAATGGTATCCTCCTGGTGAATGTTGGTAAAGTGGTACCGTCATGAGAAACAACAATCGTCTCGGGTATAGTTTTGAATGAGAACAGACACCAAAGAACAAGCTTATGGATGTAAACAAATATTGGTCACTCTATACGGCTTTTAACAATGAGCAAAACCCATGCCGTATAGTAAACTATGAAAAGCTAAAGCATGACAAAATGAAAATCAACTCAAAAGAGAAAACCATAGGCCAAACTAAAAACCACTAACGAAAAACAAATATGGCAGACAGAAACCAACGACAACCGCTGGATTTCAGACTCCTGACTTGGAACAACAACATAAAGAGTGAAATAACAAAAATACCGAACTCCGAGGTAAATTCAAAACGGAAAGTCCCTAATCAAATGGCAAAATCAAAAGCTCAAACACATCAAACGAATGGATAACAACTGTCATATAAAGAATGTAACCTGTGTATTTTGTTTAGGTTCAAGTTTACCGGGTTTAGTGGTGTCACTGTACAATGTCTTTTAGAGTTTACCAAAAGGTCTAGTGGAAATCTCACGATTCAAGGAAGTCACATTCAAGAAAATAGCTTCATAATGGTTTTTTGTAGACAATTGTCATGAAAGCTCACAATTCAGACTTGATTTGCCTTTTAAACAGAGCCTGTTGTAATAGGCCTAGGTTTTTCAACAAAGTTTCATGCGAAACCTCATACGATTTATATCTTCTTCAATATAATGCAATGTGTAGTATGACGACAAGTCAGAACACACATTTCACAAACTTATTGTTGCCATATTAGTGCAATTGAAAGTAATATATACTTCCACTATCTTCAACGATAACCTGTTTTAGTTAACGGAAGTAGGAATCTCTAGGTACAGATTTTGTGATATGGAAAAATATTACCCAATATGTCAATAAGAAGATGGTTTTCGCAGCGTGAAGTCCAAACAAACTTCAAATGTTTGATGGATAATACACAGTCTAAGGTCGAATAATTGCAACACCACTGTTTAATTGGGAACTTGTATTCCGACATTCCTAGTACGTTGGAATCGAAATAACTGTAATACTTGTATTAATTTGTATCTCATGATATTAGCTAGGACTATTATAATCACTGTTTTTTTATTCAATAGGACTGTCTGGAATCTTTTTGGTTAAATCTTGAGATTTTGGTATTTATTCCTTTGTTCTTTTACTAAATAACAGCGTTTGTATCATATTAATATTTTCCCTGAATGGTTTAGGTTTTCCTCTGATCGACTGTCGATACTTACTTCGTATGATTCTCAAGATTAATGGAAAGAAAAATATGTTATGCACAATGATGTTTGACGTTCAGAATTTTATGAATTGAAAAACGATACAGTACATAATTTATTTTAAATATACGTTTAAACAAGTCTACAACACTAAAGCTCCGTTAAATATTACAATAGATATTAGGATAGACATTTTATATATATTTCGATTTACAAAAAATGTTTAAACAGTACAACAATAAATACAGTGACCAAAGTTCACATTCATCTATTTAATATACCGACTTTAAACAAGTAAAATTGTATAGCTGTAAAAAGGGAATAAATTTTACTGAGGATGATATTGTCTGGTATAATTCATCCACTTTTTTCATAAAGGTCAAAGGTAAAGTCATGAAAATATCTAAAAAAATGTAATTAACAATTACCGAGAGATTCTCAGTTTTAGGTATATAAATAAAAGAATTTGTCGAGACTAATTCAGACAAATTAATAATGACGACACTTTGTCGGGACTTACTCAGAAAGATTAATAATGTCGAGAATTTGTCGAGAAATATTCAAACAAAATTAGTAAAATTCAGATAATCTAGTAATGTTTCAGTCAAATTCAAACAAAAGTTGGTAAATTCAAACTTTTAGGATTTTGTAGTGTAGTTTACCAATGTTAAAATCTCACAAATCGATTAATAAGACAAATCAAGGTTGTGAACAAAAACGCGGGAAATCGCATGAACTTCAAAAGAAGGAGACTGGGTGCGTCAATAGGGTGAACGTCTCCTGGTAAACATGCATCACCCGCCATGCGAATCCACACTCAGTCAAATTAAGGAATATGACACAATCGGTAAAATGGCTTACTAGAGATTTCCAATAAAATGACATTACTCGACATAACCAACCTATCTGACCATATCTCGGCCTATTGCATTGTAGGATGACGGAGGGGAGCATAGACTGCATGAATTTTTGGCTCGTTTAATACACATACTTTGTTAGAATATATGTTATTTAAGAATTAGCACAAACTATTATTTTAAGTCTTTACATATTTTGTTATTAAATTTGGGATTTCATTGACAACAACCTTTAAAGGGAATAATTAACTCAGTTACCGGTAATCAAATGCACCGATCATTTCTTCGTCATTTCACTTGACCATATGTTTATCTCTCAAACGATGAATTCTTAAAGCTACTAAATCAAAATCTAGTTTGAAAAAATAAAAATAATGGAATCTGAAGCGAGATCATATTTTCATTTTTTATTTAAAAGTTATAAGATTGAAACAAGAGTTTCAAACACGCCGGAATGTAAAAGGTGTACACGACTTGCTTCTAGGAAGAGCCCGTACAAACGTATGCGTAATTTAACGTCATTGCTCTTAAAAAGTTTCTAAAATGTTTGGCGTTTAACTTATACAAATACATATGAAAAACGGACATGTACAGAATATTTTATTGAAGTTTTGTTTAGTAGGATGATCATTTTAGTTTTATGACCAACTTATGATAGCAAGGGGATATTATATTTACTGGTTTGTGCATCCGTCCGTTCCTCCGTTTTGTTCAAAATATAAAACGTTTAAAATTATATACCAAATTAGAGTTTGACCCGGATCAAGTGGTGCACTGAACATGGAAATATGATCATGTGAAGGGGCACGGCGTCTTAAGGCCACACATTCGTGTTGCAAATGTTTTGATTAATACACGTACATGTATATGCATGTATCTTCCATATTAATAACTGTCTTTTTAGTCGCGCGCTCGCCTCGATAGTAACCGCTCAAAGGTGATCAGGGGAATAGAAATATGGTCACTATTGATCTTGTTCCGATCGGCAGTTAAACCATTGCCAAAGTGGGGAGTCCGTTTGGTTTGTGCGGGATGTACAAGTACGCAGTCCCGTCCGATTAGAGTGGAACGTTAAATCCGATGCCTCTTGTAGAGAGAATGACACGCTCTCTAGACGTTAAATATGCATGAAATATTTGCCACTGGACGTTAAGCAACCAACTATCAATCAATCGACAGTAGCGTAACCTGAATTTTATTTCTGGTGAGGCAAATGATTTGAATCTTAGCAGTCAGAGCCTCACCTTGGTTAAAAGACGTCAATGCCAATAGGGAGTGGATGGTTAATTGAAAATATGAATCGCAAAATAGATGTAGGTGATCATACTCTTGATAGGTCACACACTGGCAAAAAGATCCTGTCTATGAAAAATCCAGATTTGTGGAATTTTATCATGAAATAATATTTCTAGTGCGCATTAAATCAATATATTTCAATGAAACTGCTGCTTAAAGGTTAAATTCTCAGTATTCAGTTTCAGACAGGTCCTGGTCAAAACAAAAATAATTGACAGAATTATATGTATGACCTTCTCTAAAATGATTTTGTACAGATTTGGGGATATTAAGTTTAAGATCCGCTATGTCTTTTAACTTTATACGTTTAGCTTTTGTCAAAATGTATTGATGATAATAACTAGGTGAACTATGAAGTCTTGCTTATATTAACCAAGGTAGAAGAGTACTACATAAAATGTAGGAATGCCAAGTGTCAGTTGAAAACTTTGTACACCAAAAGTAACAAGTTCGTTGTAAAAAAAAAATCAAGCATCATATCAGTTTCACAGTTATGACCTCTTGTTTGAATCAGTTTTTTGCAAGGTATACTTTGTCTGTTACTTAAAAAAGATATTTGCATCTACCTTGTTCATTTTATGAAAGAAAGTTTTCAAGACGTTCATAATGAGGAATGAGTAAGTAAAGAGTAAGCAGTCAAAGTTTTGAACCGTCGTCACTCAATATACTTTATATGTTCTTTGCTGACATGAATTATCATTGATATGGTCATATTTATAAATTAACTGTTTACAAAACTTTGAATTTTTGAAATACTAAGGCTTTTCTACCTCAGGAATAGATTACCTTAGCTGTATTTAGCAAAACTTTTAGGAATTTTGGTCCTCAATGCTCTTCAACTTCGTACTTTATTTGGCCTTTTTAATTTTTTGGATTCGAGCGTCATTGATGAGTCTTTTGTAGACGAAACGCGCGTCTGGCGTAAATACAAAATTTAATCCTGGTATCTACGATGAGTTTATTTATACTATGACGTACATGGTATATAATTATCTTTATCTCTCTTTTTTTAATGGTAAAAAATTTGGTGAGGCGGTTGCCTCATAGCGTCAATGAAAGCTACACCACTGCTCGAGTGCGGGAAGTCTCTGGCTCGATCCTCGCCCGTTTCAAATCGAAGATTAGCTGCCTTTCTGCCAAGCACGCAATATTTAGGAGTTAGAGCAAATATTGGTCGGTCCGGGGTCAAAATCATCTGTCCGGGTAGGATGACATGTCTTCCTGCGGTATATTACAAAGTCCTAAATATGCATATGGAAAATACATATGCAACGAACACTTATATATATGGCCCTACATCCTATTAATACTCCTATTTTTTGTTCCACTACTAACGTTGCCTATATCCCCCCTTTTCAAAATCCTGGATCCGCATCTGGCAACGACATCTTATTATATTATGTTGTTCAATGTTACTTACCTTACACATTTCCGTTAATGATTTATTCAGTAAAATGAATTCGGTGACCCCTTTTAACTGTTATCAATAAAATGGATAAAATACTATAAGTTAATTTACTTCAAAGAATATAAAAAAAATGCCTGGAAATGTCTTTTGTATTTGGACTCCGATAGCATTCCCACACTTAATACAGAACAATCCTTAATCGAACACACCTTAATTTTCAAAAACAACATATGTAAGCATTTGTTTTATCAATACATTTTATAATAAATTAAAAAAATACTTTTGTTTAGAAATTAAATGGAAGCGACAGTTTTATCTCAATTTTCAACTTTATAAAGAGACTGATTCTGACAAACTCTGGTTTCGATATTTCTGAAATTGTCAGAAAAATATCCTTCTAAATATTTTTCCCGCAACAAATATAACAAAAATATAGATAAACTGTAAAGAAAGACAGAAAAAAAGTATAATGGGGCGTTCATCTGCAAAGTATATTGAAAAATAATTGTCATAATCAAAGATAACTCAAATCGTACGTATGATAGGTATGGGATACGTGTATTTATACGTGATCTTATGTCAGTGAAAATAAAGGCGGGAATCTGGAAAACCATGTGATAAATAAAAATGCAAGATTTCTATCATTTTTCGTCATGATAAAATTATTTTATATGGAAGAAAATTCCAGTGTGTGATTTTAAAAGTCTTTAAATACTTTGTTTAAACTTGAGCGACGTATTTAATCAAATTCAATGGTTGGCAATAACCAGTCCCATTATGTCCGTACGCCGAGTTACGTACGTATGTCATTTTATTGGAAATCTCTATTAGACAACTATTCGCGTATCTAAAGATCTAAAAATGCAAAAACATATAGTTGAAATTTTACAGGATTCTATAAAAAAGATATATAAGGTTTCCTATCTTACTTAGGAAGCCAATTCAAATCATAAAACTTGTAATGATCAGCATCTATTTATTGCTGACTTCTTGGTGTTTTTTGTTGTTGTTTGTGTTATTGACGTATACCCCACATTACTGCCCTAAATGTCCTTTTATTCAACATTCAATATATGATTATAATATATACTTACAATGTTAGAGGTCCTGTTATATTGAAGAACGTATTTGCTTCTATGGTTTCTATACGACACTCCTTTAGATCACTGTAATTACCATTCGAAATTGAAAATCAAAATTAATGTGAGAAATGCTTTAGGCTTAACAAATTGACCGTTTATCCTTGCTTATCAATAAAGATGAGCTCCTCCCATATGCATTTATATAGAGAGTATTTACAATGTACTTTTATTTACATAATTAATTTATTAATTAAAAAAAAAAATCATTATAAGACTGTAGTGCTACCTTAAAGAAACAAAAATAAACATTAATTGAAATAGACTTGTATCAAGTCCACACAATGACTACTTGTATATTAATTTAAACATATTTTATTCAGAAAATAACTGAACTAGTATGCTGTACAGATATTGTAATGTAATCTGTTATTTCAAGTTACCTAAAGTGTGTGTTTTGAGTAATTTAATTATTTTCATTAATTACAATACCCATTGTTTAGATACATCAAATAACGTCCTTATTTCCAATAAATTGCACCACATGTTTATTGTATCGTTCTCTTTCAGACATTTTGGAACATAACAATTTATATAATAAGGGATTTTTTAAAATTGTAATTGAAGTCAGTACTGTAGAGACAACCGTTTTAAAAATTTTTTTCCATCGTAATATTGATTATGAATGATTGATATAGTGTTTAGGAACATACTTACATCAATGTTATATCCGTGAGATTGTGAAATATGAAGGCAGTCAGGTGTTTCAACTTGTAATTTGAGAAAATGTTCCTGATGAAAAGTAAACAGAATGTTACATTTTTCAGGCATAAAGATGAACAAAATTGTCATTACAAACATATGATAAAAAATATTCATATTTTGCTTGCTTTTTTTTCTTTGTTTTGCGGATATTATTTTAGTACTTGAGTTAATTTAGAATGATATGGTCTGCGTTTAGCCTTCAATGAGACAGTTGATAATCAAAGAAAAAAAAATTATCACTAAGATTAAAGCTAAAATAAGATGTTTATTCTACTTCAGTAATTGTGATGATACAAATTTTAATTTATAGTCTCATTGATAAATTTTTTAAAGCAATTGCTAAACTAAGTAAATTTAGATATATAAATGAACTTATAAGTGGACGGCTTCTTACTTCATGTGATGTATTTATTATCCATTATATTCCTATGTGGAGTTATTTTTTTTCAGAACGACAGGTCTTTCTTTTGAAGAATCAACCCGGACGATACCAAGTTTCAATGAAATTTGCTTCAAGGCATAAAATAATGACATGTGTATTTCGTTTGATAGTTATCGTGTGCTGTGGATTAAGACATAAACAATCCTGTCCTCCGTTTTTTTAGACTGAATTACAAAAAATCGTCGTGGACGCACATTTTAACTTTCGAAACAAATAATGTGAAATGTTGTTAAATTATCGCTCCAATAAAGGAACAATATTTGAGATGAATTTGATAATGCAAAACTCTTCATAACACTTTTAAAACAAGCCAGATTTAACACATTCGTGTGTAGAATTATGGAAATCTTATTGTATTGGAAAACATACATTGACCTATGGATATTCGTTTTTCTTGTTATATATACATGTATCACGATTTCGTGCTCTATTCGTGTCAGTTCTGAATTGATTACATCTATATATACCTATACCTTTTACTCTATCAAATGATCAAATGACCAAATATTTTAATTTCTATAGAATAACAGCCACGTACTTAATGATAGGGATGGATTGGGGGTGGGGGGTATAATATTTAATTCTGACTAAGTTCTTTGTTAAAAAAAAAATGTATTGCCATTCAAAAGTGAAGAAAAACAATAATTCTGAACAGCCTGTTAAAAACTGTTGAAAAAATAATCTGATTTTCCGCGAAGAAAGTGTCACGATAAAAAAACATAGGATCCCCCTTTCATAAACTAAGTTGATAATAAATTACTGACAAATTGACTTGTATTTTTCATACACCGTAACAATTCATTTGTGTCTTGCTTCATGCAGTTACAGTGATATTTCTATTATAACTGGATGATGATTGCTAATAAAATTGAGAATGGAAATGGGGAATGTGTCAAAGAGACAACAACCCGACCAAACAGCAGAAAACAGCCGAAGGCCACCAATCGGTCTTCAACACAGCGAGAAAATCAAGCACCCAGAGGCGGGCTTCAGCTGGCCCCTAAACAAAAATATGTACTAGTTCAATGAAAATGGACGACACACTAAACTCCAAAACATATAAATGAACTAAAATTAAAAAGCATACAAGACTAACAAAGGCCAGAGGCTCCTGACTTGGGACAGGCGCAAAAATGCGTCGGGGTTAAACATGTTTTGTGAGACCTCAACCCTCCCCCTATACCTCTTGCCAATGTAGAATAAACAAACACACAGCAATACGCACAGTTAAAACTCAGTTTAAAAGAAGTCCGAGTCCAATGTCAGAATTAGTAACAAAAGAAACTAAGCAAAATAACAATGATACATAAATTAACAAAGGACTACTAGCAGTTACTGACATGCCAGCTCCAGACCTCAATCAAACTGATTGTAAGATTATGTCTTTATCATATGAAAATCAAGCACAATCCCTCCCGTTAGGGGTTTAGTATCATACCATCATAAAATATATGAGAAGAATATAACCTGTATCATGCCAACGACTGGTTTAATTTAGAATAAATGTGTTTATTTCCGATGCAAAGACCCTATAAGTGAATCAATATTAATACCAAAATATGCCATCTTTAATGACCTGACAACAGTATCGTAACTATACCCCGTCTGAATAAGTCTGTTTTAAGGTTTGGTTAGCTTTTGAGGTGAATGTCGACATTTTTGTGCTTTGTATAAAATATTACCATGAAAGATTGGATGTGAAATACCTGAACGTATAAGATGTCTGCATGTTGATTTATATTTCCGAATGATGTCCTTGTACCGATGATAAAATTTAGTAAATGTTTTGACTAGTTTGTGATATCGAAAACCCTGGTGTAATAATTTTTCAGTAATACAGAGATTTCTTTCGTTAAAATCAAATACGTTGTTACATACACGAGCGAAACGAACAAGTTGAGATATATAAACACCATAAGATGCTGACAAGGGATTATCACCATCTAAAAATGGATAATTAACAATAGGAAATGAAAAATCATCTCTTTTATCATACATTTTGGTATTAAGCTTCCCGTTAAAGATATAGATATCAAGATCCAGGAAAGGGCAGTGTTCATTGTTAGTATTAGCTTTATTTAAAGTCAGTTCAGCAGGATAAATCTCTTTAGTGTACATACTGAAGTCGTCATTATTGAGAGCCAATATATCATCCAAATATCTAAAAGTGTTATTAAATTTATGTATCAGATGTTGTCTCGATGGGTCTTTGCTGATTTTAGTCATAAATTGTAACGCATAACAATACAAAAACAGGTCCGCAATAATTGATGCACAGTTAGTCCCCATTGGAATTCCGATAACTTGACGATATACGGAATCTCCATAGCGAACAAAAATGATATCTAGTAAAAATTCAAGGGCAGTTATCGTATCAAAGCAAGTCCAGTTGACATTTTTTTTGTTTGTTGTTACTAAAAAATTACCTATAAGAGTTTGAACATATATATTCGCATTCTGACTTTTTAAATGCCCATTTAATTAGGTGTGTGATTTTTTTCTTAATAAGATTATGAGGCAAAGTGGTATATAGGGTAGAAAAATCAAAACTTTGAACAGATTCAAAATCACCAATATAAGCATGCAATTTATCAAGTACTTCCAACGAATTTTTGACACTCCAAAAGTAATTAATTCCACTATTTTCAAAGGCCTTATTTGCTTATATCTAGATTAATTAGTGAGTTTTATTTCACGTTACAAATGAGCCGTAGGGCGTATTAAAACCAGAACGCATCAGAAAAGAATATCCCACTTTAATGTGATCGGTAAAATAGGATGGAAATCCTGCAAATCTTTGCAGAAAATAATATTTTTTGACGGTATATAAGTCAGATAATGCATATTTTAAGGTGTTTATTGTCGTGTAACACATCTCGGGGTGTCAGGATTGCCCAAAGATCATTTGATCAGTCCTGACACCCCTCGGTGTGTTATACGACAAGAAAAACCTTAAACTATGCATTATCTATAACTTAATAAACTGACTAAACATCTTAGTATGTGTAATATATACACAGAAATAAATAAACCAATTTTCATTTTATGAATTAAATGTCACTTTGTTCCTCGTTTTCTTAAGCGTGAAACTTTTCAAATTATTATCGTAAGTGAACACTTACAAACCGAATACCAGTCGTCTTTTTTCATAATATTGATGAAATTTCATGATATAGATTCTAGAACATGAATAAAGGATTAATTCCGCACCTTCTTACCAAGCGGTTTTGCTTTTCCCGATGTTTCTTACCTGATGATATGTTAAGATAGAAATAGGAATAGGTTGTTCTGTCAATGCAATTAAAGCAGAAGAATTTGTTTTTATATAAAATCTACATTTTATTACTGAAACTCAATTTTATATGCAAAAGTTTGTTTGAAGGTTTGGCAATCTTGTTTTGCACTAACGGTAATAAAGCAAGTCGATTTGATTTAATTACGGTTAAACATGAGTCGGCAAACCCAGACAGTTTGTTTGACTTAAACTAGACCTCCACTGATTTCAAAACGTTTTCATGTATTAGCTGTTTTGATCCAGATCAAAGCTTAAAATATGCTATGTCTCTTCGGTATTTTCTTACACTGTCATTATTCGCATTGGAAGTAAAAATAACTATAATGCCCAAAATATTTCATTAACAACCAAATGTATTTTTTTAAATGGACGGTCACTAAAAGGATGCCAATGCGGATTTTTCACTTTTCCATTTGACAACTGTCCATAGTTAAGATGTTACATAAGACATATCCTCAGTCAATAACGTTTACTTTTAGTTCTTCTTTACCGATTCTAAGTTGAAACTATGAACCAGAGAACAAAATTGAAAATGGAAACGGGGAATGTGTCAAAGAGAAAACAAACCGACCAAAGAGAAGAAAACAGACCAAGGCCATCAATGGGTCTTCAAAGTTTATTTCAGGGTTCACTACTTTCAAAAGTATATTGTTGACCAAAAACTATTCAAACAATCTAGCAAGGCTATGAGGAAGTTAAAACACGACTGAATATAACTCACCACTATTTCGACGGTTGTAATCACAAATTGGATCAGTTCTGTTCCAACTAACTCTTTTAATTATGTTAATTACTATGTTAATATCTTTCATTTGAAGTAGTATAACGAGCTTTGTCATGTTCCTTCCATTGGTAATTACTATATCGGATATGACTTTGGAATTGTAAAACGAGTTATGAATGCAAAGAAAGTGGTGAATATCTTATGATAACGTTAAAAAATGCTATGACCGGTAGAATAACAGAGACACGATTTAGTTAACTATTCTTTTATTTTTGTCATTCGGGGCCTTTTATAGCTTACACTGCGGTCAGGATTTTGTTCATAGTTGAATGTCGTAGAGTGACATATAGTTGTTAACTTCTATGTCATTTGATCTCTGGTGGAGACTTGTCTTAATGCCAAATATACCACGTCATCTTATTTTTATATAACAACTAGAGTGCGAAAAATGTCAATTCAAGTCACTTCAATATAATAACCGGAAGTGACAACTTACATGGATGCATCAACCACGTAGTAAGCAAACATTGATTAAGCTTTGGAAAATCTTGCTATAGAAATGTACACTAGTCAATAAATAAATGGTATTCTAGCAAAGCATAATATGTATACATGTATTAATAATTCAAGACACATTGATTAAACAAAACCAGTAAGAAAACAACATTTATCAATTAGTGCAATAAGGCAGTTGGAAAAATGTGCAGGTCATTTCCTAAATGCTGGGATTGAATAACAACTTAATTAAAAAGCCGAAGATGGCATCAACAATATATCGAAGCTATAATGATAGACTTCTTCTTAGTAATAAGGCAATTTAATGCTGTCTACATCAATTTGATAAAGAAGTTTTATAGTGTTGAAAGTATAATACACTTATTTATATCAGATATGAATGTTTTGATTTCAATTCCTTAACACCCTTCCCCGTAAAAAAGACAAAGCAAAACAAAAAGAATACACATGAATTGAAAACAAAGTCAATTATTGAAACATGTATGCTTCCATGTATATCAAAACTATCTCATTTGATAAATTCCTTTCTATAAGTGTGTACTTCTCGAATAAATTTAAAAAAAAAAACCAAAATGCAATGTGTGCTACAGCTAACTAATATATACCACCTCTTTAGCTTTTAGTGAAATAATGTCAATATCACTAATTTAAAAAAAGACATAAGAAAGAAGACAAGTAAACAATTTAGCTCACCGATATTTAACTTAGTTTCAAATATCAAGAAGTTATGAACTGTAGTTTCTGAGACAACGTAACGAAAATATAAGTTCCTGAAAAGATATTTCAATCCTAAACACATCTTTGTATTTTACATTTTCGTGCAAAATATCTTTTTGATAAAGCAGTTTTAAAGAAATTCCTTCAGGAAATATCTTAGAAAATACTCTTATATATCATTATTTCTTATTTCTTATTTTTGACTGTCCAACGCTTAAGAACATTTGATACCGTTGTTTGACACAGAAGTATGTCAATCTTTTTTTCAAATTCAAGGTGCTAAAAACAATATTTTTTAAACTTTCATCTCTACTAGTATCTAGGAAGAAAATTTAAAGATAACATTTAAAACTTCGTTTTCATTTGAACTTTTAAATTTGGCGTACACACTTATAAGCCTGGTATCTTTGATGAGTTTGTTTTATAGAATCTTACAAACACTACTAATATTTGAAAAAAATTGATTGAGAGAATAGGTTAGAATACTTACAATCTATCCAAAAATATAAGAATTATCAAAAGGTTTGTTATGGAAACATTTTAAAGCACATTTTGTAACATAAGTCACACTCATGAAACCTAGAGATTCGGAAGGGATATGTTATGATCTTTATAAATTGTGAAAAAATGTGTACTAATACATTTACTTTTCTGAAGTAAAAAAAAAATGAGCACCGAAAAGGTCACATTCATGGTCTTCAACAATGTTCTAAATTAGTGACGGTCGAATCCAAAAAAGTTAGAAAGGCCAAATAAAGTACAAAGTTAAAGAGCATTGAGGACCCAAATTACTAAAGGTTTTGCCAAATACAGCTAAGGTAATCTATTTCTGGGGTAGAAATTCCTAAGTATTTCGAAAAATAAAAAGTTTTGTAAACAGTTAACTTATTATTATGACCATATCATTGATAAATCATGTCAACGAACATGTGCTGACTACTGCAGTGGCAGTGGCAGTTGTAAATAGACTAATCATAGATCTAAAATTGACTTCCAAAATGCTTTGTATAGAAATATCATTTTGTTTCAGTTAAGCGGGAGGTTTGGCTAGCAATAAAACCAGGTTCAACCGACCATTTTTTCTTAAAATGTCCTGTACCAAGTCAGGAATATGGCAGTTGTTATCTAATAGTTCGTTTCTATGTATGTTGGCGTTTGTTTTTGTTGCACTTCAGTGTTTCTGTTGTTCCGTTGTTTTCCTCTTATAGTTGATGTGTTTTCCTCGGTTTTAGTTTGTAACCCGGATTTGTTTCTCTCAATCAATTGATGACTTTTGAACAGCGGTATACTACTGTTGCCTTTATTCATAGCTTCCAATTCATAAGCAAATGTTTATTTATGAACCAACATTCGCACATATGCAAATAAAACAAATATTTACCATCATAATAATTAAAACAAATCCTGCAACATGTACAACCAATTTACAGGTACACATATATATTTGAAGAACAAATTAACAAAATTAAAACCGTTAGATGTATTAAATGCAACAGAAGCGAAGTTTGTTCATTAATCCAATGTTCAGTATAAATCATCTTGTATTTGATATACTGTGGATTCATTATTATTCGTTGGATTCCAATTTTCGTGGATTTCGTGGGTACAGGTGAACCACGAAATTAAATGTTCAACGAATGATATATTTTCTATAGGATTGTACGCAGACTTCGGCAAAACCACGAAATTGAATATCCACAGACATGCAAGTTTTCCTTAATCCACGAAAATTGGTACCCACGAAAATTAATGAATCCACAGTACCTTAAGAACAGCTAGATTGTATAATATAATTAGCTTTTCACACTGAAGCCGAAACATACCAAACATTTTTTTCGATCTGTGTCCATTATATAGCTTCAAATTATTTGATTCCCCTATTTGAACTTTACAGTTGATACGATATTCCAGAGTTTGCATTTCTTATCATGATTTCCGCGATAGAAGATTGTTTCTTACAAGGAAGCTATCTATCCAAGGATTTCACATGTTAAAGTTGAAGTCATTACTTTCGAAAATTTAAGGACGCCATCACAACATAGTTGACCGTTATGGAATATCCAAATTGACATTTTTCAGTTCGAAGTTAATATTTTTCAGTTTCAAGTTGACATTTCTTAGTTCTAACTTGACATTTCTCAGTACCAAGTTTACATTGATGACTGTCAAGTTGAAACAGAGAAATGTCAATGTTGAAAATGTCTGACTTGCGCTAATAATTATAAAACGATCACTTAAATATATTGGAAACAGTCACGCTAAAAATAAAAGACCATCGCAAGTAACAAAAATCAACTGGTACGCACTTATGGTTTATCGCAATTTAGCCAAAACTAAATCCCAAATAATGATTGATCATTTTCCAAAAATATTGAAATAGAAGTGGTACTCACAGGGTCTTTATCCTTTGTAGTCCATTCAATGTTCCAGATGTCATTGATGAAATTTGAATACTGTTTATAAATCTGTTTACAAATGAAAAAAGTAAAAACAAATATGTTGATAAAATTGTTATTAAGAAAGATTATAACACGGGATATGACTCTCCTGTGAGACAGTGGTGGAACTTTGAGTAGTAAAAAATTCTACTGTGTGGACATTGCTACTTTCTTAGGCTGATAAACGTTTTAATTTTCTCTTTTTACGCATTTTTCACGTTTTATATATTTATGTAAAGGTTAATTTTGATATATTGTTTATAAATATACTGTCTTATCTTCCAACTTTACATTAACTATCGATCTAACTAATGATCTTCATTATTGGAGGAAATAAAGATATATATACACACATCTAACTTGGAAATATTAAAATCAAAATATCTAAAATGCGGGACGATGCCAGTTTTCATATACACGGAACGTTTTTACAAAATTACAATTATCAGATACTCCAATAGTTTTGGAAGCCAAAGATATATGTTAAATAGCACAGAAATCCAATACGACAAATCTTTGCTTGTTCCAGCATTTTTTCAAATATTTTGTTACACGTATTATAAAAAATACCAATATATTTCGGCTATTTACATTTTTATGTAAAGATACCAACAAATTTGTTCATTATTGTACACAAACTGTACACAAACTATGCACCAGCATTACATGACTAGAAGTAGTCTAAAGAAACCTCATAAATATGATTCCCCAACCATTGCATAGTCTATGATTTGCTAACGGAAACCCCAAAAGTTATTTTAGTAAAAAAAAAAAAAAATAGAGATGCGCAATACTATTGTGAAAAGGTTTCAATAAATTGTAAAGGATTCAAGAGGAGTTGCATATACAAAATTGGTACTACCCAAATAAAACAAAGAGAAAGTATACGCTTGACTTATTATAAGTATTTCCCCTTATGCTAACCAAATCACAAACTATTAAATGTGAACTGTGCAAAAATTTCAAAGTTAATAGAGCATTACTGATGGAGCTTGGCCAAAAAATTTCAATGACAAATGCGATGTGCTAGTGCTAATATTATTGTAAACCAAGTATCATAGACTTATCAGAAGTGGTTAATTAATTTAAACAGACCTAATCTAAAACTTTAATATGTTAACTATTATACAAAAGTTTGATAAATCAATATAATATGACAGAGAGACCGTGGCCAAATAATGTCCATGAAAATGAATTGCTTATACAGCTGCATACTAAATATCATTGACTAACGATTAGTCGTTCCCTTAAACTGTGCAAATCACTAACTTAGCAAAAGTTTCAAAGTCAATAGCGATCATGACTGAAGTGGTAGGGCCAAATTATCCAAATGGAATTACGATTTGTCAATTCCAATACAACTTCATACCAAAAACATTAACAAAACTAAAAATGTAGTAGTCATTTTATCTAAAACTCAAGTTAATGTACTTTTGGGAAAGAAATTGCATACTAGTAGTATATAATCTCATCTTCAGAATTAAAATTTTGTACGAATGATTTTGACAAATACAGCTAAGGTAATCTATTCCTGGTGTAGAAAATCCTTAGTATTTTGAAAAATTAAAAGTAAACCAGATAATTTATAATTATGACCATATCAATCATAATTCATGTCAACAGTAAACTATATCAAAGTTGGGACTCACCGCAGTCATTAACAACGTTGTGTAAAAAATATAATTTAGTTTCACAAACTAACGCACATATATATATATACGATCTAAACGCATATCGTATGTTTCTAATGATTCGTGATTTCGGTGAATTCCACAGTCAAATAAAATATGTCAGCCTTAGTAATTATAAAAGGATGACATATTCACATGTTATTTTCTTTTGTCAGTAAAAGAAACTATCGTCAAAATTACGACGGCTAACACTAGCTATTCGGAATTTTCATTTAAAGTTAAATGATATTCTAAAAGAAACATACTTTGTCATATTATTTTTTCGTTTATTGTTTTGTCATAAATCAGGCCGTCGTTTTTTTCGTTGGAATTTGTTCACATTTTGTTATGTCGGGGCCTTTTGTAGCTGATTATACGGTGTGGGTTTTGCCAATTTTTGAAGGCCATACAATGACCTATAGTTGCTTAAATCAGCTTCATTTGGACTAGTTGTCTCATTGGCAATAATACCACAACTCCTTATTTAGTAAACCAGAAATTTTGTATCTGCCTTCCAATGATGAAAAAATCCCTCTTGCTCGATTGGTGGATAGGTTTACATTTGATTTATTTCATTTGTAAGATATGCGTTGAAATTCCAAGTAACTATCATTGTATTATCTAGAACGTATGGTACTAATTTCAGTGCATATGGTACAAGTGTTATTGAACAACTGCTTGGTAAAACCGGTTGATACAAGTTTCGGAAGCATATAGTTTAATATATATATATTGTTCTTTTGGGAAGATAGATGTTTAACGTCTGGGTGAAATTAATGCTTTCAAGACTAGACTATTTATTAAAGGTACTTTTAAAAATTAAACTTGCCCTGAACTTTGCTGGGTTACGGTCTGTATACGGATATGTCACCCATTAGGTTCTGATCCAGGATTTGACTTTTGTCAGCCTATTAATTTCGTAGAAAACTTCCAAAATTTTTCGGACGTAATTTATGCCAAAAACGCTTAGAAGGTTTTATGATTTAGAGCCCAAAAATATATTTTCAAATTAAAGGGTAGGAGCAAGCCAGGAACAATCTTCCTAAAACGCCAAATTACAATCTTGACATGTTTTTTTACTAGTAACCGACCATTCCTTCCCCTTTTTTTTATTGTTCTTTACCTCTTAAATCCATTCTTTCACGACACCAAGAAATAACTGTTAAGTCTTTGATTGGGCCCAACTGAAGACCGATTCCGTGACCTCAATACCCGGTGAAATATTAAAACAAGAAGATGTGGTACGATTGCCTATGAGACAACTATACACTATTTAAACTAGTATACATTCCGCGCAACAAAAAGGACGTTCCGTCGGCAAAAACCTTATATATATTGTTGGACTGGAGATTAAAATTTAGGAACAATCCACCTTTCATAAACTAAAATTTTATAAAGGAGATGTTTTATATATCATTTTAATCCCGTCTGCTTGGCAAATTTTATGCTAGGAAACCAACAGATTTCCAGACAATGTTATATAGGCACCTACGTTTTAATATTGTATTTATATTGTGTCATAGATCAAACTTATTCGTTCAGTGTATGTTTACTTCTTTTTGTTTACATGTCTTTTTGATCGAGTTAAGCCATTTCAATTGATATTTTATAGTGTGTCTTTTTATGTTGTAATGTTAAACTACTGTCTCAGGTTAGGGTGAAGGTTGGCGCCTGTTAAAACGTTTAACCCCGCCACATTCTATATGTGCCTGTCCTAAGTCAGGAGTCTGTAATTGAATGGTGGTTGTTGATCGTTGCTATTTATCATATTTGTTTTTCGTTTATTGTTTTGTATAGTGTGTTCTTGTGTTGTGCTGTTGCACTACTGTCCCAGGTTAGGGGGAGGGTTTTGCACCATCTAACAAGTTTAATCCCGCTGCATTTTTATGCACCTGTCCTAAGTTAGGAGCCTATTGTTCAGTGGTGTCGTTTGTTTATGTTGTTCATAGGTGTTTCTCGTTTCTCGTTTTTTATATAGATTGGACCGTTGATTTTCCTGTTTGAATTGTTTTACACTAGTCATTTTGGGGCCCTTTATAGCTTACTGTTCGGTGTGAGCCAAGGATCCGTGTTGAAGACCGAACTTTGACCTATAATTGTTAACTTTTTATACATTGTGACTTTGATGGAGAGTTATCTCATTGGCACTCATACCACATCTTCTTATTTATAAGTACATTTGACCTAGCTTTTTATCCTACATATATTTGCAGCAATGATGACAAATGCGTCTATCGGAATTCTGAGTCCTCAACGCTCTTCAACTTGGTACTTAGCATTTTTTTATATTTTTGATTAGAGTGTAACTGATGAGTCTTTTGTAGATGAGACGAGCGTCACTGATGAGTCTTTTGTAGATTAGACGCGCGCCTGGAGTACAAAATTATATATTAATTGTATATTTCGGACGAGACTTATCACGTCTGTAATAAACAACTAAATAAATTTAACGATTACTGAATATTTTTTTTTTAACTTTTAGATCTAATTCATATAGAACTAAGCTACTTACAAAACCTCCATATTATTCAAACTAATGAATGTATCATCTTCTATGCTTGATATCAAGTTGCCGTCTATTTGTCTAAGAAAAAAGGATAAGATAATAAAGTTTATGGTTTACATGATTACCATTCACAAATGAAAGATATACAAGTCTTCCGAATAAAAGCAAATTTCTAATTTTCCTTTTCCTGTGTTGTTATGATTAAAACAATACTGACTGGCATCTATATTTTTTTACCTGTAACATGGAAGAAGTGTATTTTCTGATTTTTTTGTTTTCATCAGCGGCAGTATTCAACCAACACATTTTCCATTATTTGTGCTGATATTAAAATAAACACATCTATTATTTGAAACTGTGAAAATTCGCGGTATCATGTGTTTCTTGCGATGTTATTACAGGAGAACTTAACATCGTTTAGACCAAGAAGTTAGTTTTATTTTAGAAAGGACCAAAAAAGGGTCTATTTTTTAATATTAAGTGAAATGATGTCAAAGGAACATCAATCATCAGCGTTTCTCTTTATTCTTACTGAATTCTTAGTACAGAAGAGATAACGCTAATAAAACATTGGATTCCATCAGTTAAAGTTGACCTGAGATAGATTTGGCTATTGTGTCCCTTTTGGTCATTTAGCTCTACACGTGTTTCGGTGTTTTAAACATCCTTGGCTTTCAATGTTTTGGCTTTAAACGTTCCTGATGAAGGAAATAAAAGACGGCGCTTCGGACGAATTACACAATTAAGTGTTATTTTCATTGCTTGAGTAATGCATATGAATTGTAGATTAACTTATGACATATATCGAAAGTATATTCATACATAATCGTTCAACTACAACTAGA